CAAAACCATTTTAAGTCAAACTATTTCACTGTCTGAGAAATTCCTGTGGACAGGGCAGCCATGCTGATCCTTACACGCCCTGTGTGCTGACATAGTCCTGCAGAAGCGCCTGTGCCTCTGCCCGCCAGCTCATCTTGGTGGCCTTTCCCTGGAAGCGGCCTTTCTTCCTGGCTCCTTTGCCTTCCAAGACCTCAGCCACCCTGGGGATCAGAGACACAGTCAGGGAGATGTTTGTGAGGGAAAATCTATGTAAACCAGCAGCATCCCTGAGCCTTTCCTGGAGTCTGAAGGAAGTAGGAGACAGGAGGTGGGTTCTGGAATCCTTAAAAGTATTCCCACAGCCTGCCTGACACCGGTGGCTCACACCTGTAATCCTAGCTATTCAGAAAGCTGAGATCTGAGGATTGTAGTTTAAAGCCAGCCCTGGCAGGAAAGTCTGTGAAACTCTTATTTTCAATTAACCAAGAAAACCAGAAGTGGCACTGTGGCTCAAGTAGTAGAGTGCTAGCCTTGAGCTGAAGAGCTCAGGGACAGTGCCCAGGCCCAGAGTTCAGGCCCCACGACTGACCCCTCCAAAAAAGTATTTTAAAAAAATGTAAATGCTGCAGGCTCCAGTGGCTCACGCCTGTAATCCTAGCTACTTAGGAAGCTGAGATCTGAGGATTGTGGTTCAAAGCCAGCCTGGGCAAGGAAAGTCCGTGAGACTCTTATCTCCAATAAATCACCAGAAAAAAAACTGGAAGTGGCACCATAGCTCAAGGGGTAGAGCGCTCATCTTGAGCACAGGGAGGCTCAGGGACAGAGACCAGGCCCTGAGTTCAAGCCCCAGGACTAGATAAAAAAAAAATCATGATAAACCCTTAGTGTCTTGCATGTATACCTGCACTTAGGGGCTGCTGAGGGGCAAGAAAAGTAGGGACAGTACAAGCTGGAATTGTGTCCTACCTGAGGGCGGTAGCCACTCATCTCTCACAGCCACCACCGCAGAGGAATGTAGACTCAGGCTTACCAGTACTCAGGCGCCTCCCCATCTCCCTCTCTCCTTCTTCGCATCCCCTGTGTCCCCTTTTAGAAAAGCCAGAACTCTGTACAAAAATCTAATGTTAAAACGTACCAACTAATTTTTGTTGTTGTCGTTGGTTGTTGGGCTTTAACTAGGGCCTGGGTGCTGTTCCTGAGCTCTATTGCTTAACGCTAGCCACATATTTCTGGTGGTTAAATGGAGATCAGAGTCTCTTGGACTTTTCTGCCCAGGCTGGTTTTGAACTATGATCCTCAAATCTCTGCCTCCTGAATAGCTAGGATTATAGGTGTGAGCCACAAGTACCTGGCTGTACCCACTACTTTTAAAAATTTCAAACAGGACACAGACCAAACTGGTATACAGGCCACATGTGGTGGCTGGTCAGGATTCTCTTCTATAAAATAATGTTTCCAATGAGAACATATTTTGCAGAGCCAAATGTAAGTGCAAGAATATGGGGCATGTACTTCCAGATCTAATTTAAAAAAAGAAAACAGAAGCAGTAATAACAAGGCTAAAACAAAGTTCTAATTTTTCCATGAATAAACATATCCAATGTCTTCATTTAGTCTCAAAATCCAATTTCCCCCCCAAAAAACCTTTGTGCTTCTTCATTGTTGTTGCCTTAAAAACCTGCTAAAAATAAAAAACAAACAAACAACAACAACAACAAAAAAGCCCTGCTTCATTCAGGATCTGTGTTCATGTATCACTTTTTCTTTCTCTTTGTTTTTGTCAGTTGTGGGGCTTGAACTCTGGGCCTGGGTACTGTCTTTGAGCTTTTCAGCTTAAGGCTAGTGCTTTACCACTTGAGCCACAGTGCCACTTTTGATTTTTTGAGTGGTTTATTGGAGATAAGAATCTCATCGACTGGCCTGCCCAATCCTCAGATCTCAGCCTCCTGGGTAGCTAGGATTACAGGCGTGAGCCACTAGTGCCTGGCCACATATCACTTATTTCTAAAAGAAAAAAAATAAGCACATGAGATTTGCAGCCCAAATCCCCGAGTTCAAGTCTCATTCTGACACTTTAACCATGAGATGTCAAACTGGGAGTGCTGGTAATAGGAACCTACATCTCTGCTTACTTCCTGCACCTTTGGTGTGAATCAAGACTACAGGTATGACAGCTTTTAGCTCTGTGTGTGTGTGTGTGTGTGTGTGTGTGTGTGTGTGTGCATATGTACACACCTTTCCTAGAGGCTTAGGAGCTATTCCTGAGCTCAATAGCACTTTACCCATTTGAGAAACAGTTCCATTTTCAGGTTTTTGGTGGTTAATTGGAGGTAAGAGGGGCTAGGAATGTGGCTCAGTGGTAGAGTGCTTGCCTTGCATGCATGAGGCCCTGGGTTCAACTCCTCAGTACCACATAAGCAGAAATAACTAGAAGTGGCACTGTGGCTCAAGTGGTAGAGCACTGAAGGACAGCACCTAGGCCCAGAGTTCAGGCTCCACAACCGGAAAAAAAAAATGCACGTAAGAGTCTCATGGACTTTTCTGCTTGGGCTGTCTTCAAACTGTAATCCTCAGATCTCAGCCTCCTGAGTAGCCAGGATTACAGATGTGAGTCACTGTTGCCTGGCTTTTAGCTTTTTTGTTTTCGTTGTTAGTCACAGGATTTGAACTCACGACCTGGGTGCTGTCTTTAGCTATTCTGCTCAAGGCTGGTGCTCTACCACTTTGAGCCATAACTCTACTTGGAGTTTTCTAATGGTAAATTGGAGAGTCTCACAGGCTTTTCTGCCCAGGCTGGCTTTGAACCACAATCCTAAGATCTCAGCCTACTGAGTAGCTGAAGTTACATGTATAAGCCACCAGCACCTGGCTCCTTTTAACTATTTTTTGTTGTTGTTGTTGGTCATGGGGCTTGAACTCTAGGCCTGCACTCTGTCCCTGAGCTTTTCAGCCCAGAGTGATCATTCTACCATTTGAGCCACAGTGCCACTTCTGGTTTTCTGGTGGTTAATTAGAGATAAGAGTCTCACAGACTTTCCTGCCTGGGCTGGCTTTGAACCACCATCTTCTGATCTCAGCCTCCTGAGTAGCTAGGATTATAGGCATGAGCCATCAGTGCCCAGCTTCTTTCAAATTTTAACTGTATTTTTTTGGTGTCTTTTCTGTTTTTGGTACTAGGAATTGAACCCAGAGCATTGCACTTGCTAGGCAAGTGCTTTGCCACTGAGCTACACCCCAGCCCTCCTTTGAGCCTTTAACCAGGCTACATTAATCAGTAGCTACCTGGCTTTCCCACCTGTAGAGAAGTCTATGAGCTTTACCTTGGCCCTAGGGTTTCCACAGCCTCAGCCGGCCCTGCCACTAAAAAGAGTCCAGCAGCTTTCCCATCTCCCACAGTTAAGAACAGGAGTGAAGGAGATAGGACAATGTGAGTACCTCATGGGGTCAACTCCTCTAAAGCTGTGCTTTTATTTCAGTCGCATGAACAGTTGTCTCCTCTAAAGCATGAGTGGTATTGCTGATGGCTATGGCCCCGCCCCTCCACTTTGATCTGACCATGGCCAAGTATAAAATAACTGTCATGGCCTGACTCCTGCCATCCTTTCAAACCTGATCACGCACCCCACACTGCCATTACCTACACCACCATGCTTCCCCCTGCCTGCTGCCTGGCTCCCATCTATCAGACTTCCCTAAGCTCAGCTATTCAGGGAATGTGTGCTCCAAATTATCCACACTGACACACACATGACTCCCATACTACAACATGAGCTACAATCACTGTCTACACAGAATTATGAAAAGAAAATCATACAGTGCCAAACCTAAGTGGGTTTGGAATAATGCAAGAGAGACACAGAAACCTCTAAGCTTACCGACCGACTATCAAGACTGAAGACAAGTGAAGCCAGAGGCAGCAGCAGATAGACAGGATCCTTCAATGGGCCTTTCCAATCCCTGCCTTTCTTGCTTCCTTTTTCTTTTCCTGATGTTGTTGTTTTATGTTACTGGTTTTTGAAGTCAGAGACTTCAAAACTTGAAGCCTACAACTAGACTTCTTGAACCACACCTCCAGCCCTTTTTGCTTTATTGTTGAGGCAGGGTCTTGATTCTTCTTCCTCACCTCCTGGGGTGCTGGCCTATGCTGTGATCTTCCTATTTAGGTTTCCTTCCATAGCTGGGATGACAGGTGAGCAACACCACATCTAACTTTTGCTATTGTGATGGGGTCTTGTGAATATTTTTTTTAGACTGGAACTGTGATCTCAGTCTTAACCATCTGCAAACCTGGCAATTAGCTCAATCAGCTTTTTAGTAGTTGAGATGGGGGCTTGAAAACTTTTGCCCATGCTGGCCTTGAACCACAATCCTCTCCATCTCTTGAAAAGCTAGGATAGAATCTTGCTAAGTGTGCTGGTTCTGGGGCTTCTTCTCTTGTCCTATTGTTTTCCATTCAAGGCTGATGCTCTACCACCTGAACTATACCTCCACTTCTGGCTTTTTGCTTGGAGTCTCTTAGATTTGTCTGCCCAGGTTGGCTTTGAACCTTGGTCTTCAGATCATAGCCTTCTGAGTAGCTAGGGTTACAGGTATTGAGCTGCTGGAAACCAGCTTGGTCTTGAATTCTTGTTCCTCTTACTTTGCTGATCCTCCTGGGATTACAAGCCTGGTCCACCATACCTGGTCCCACCCCTGAATTTCTAATACTAGGTGCTAATCACATACAAATCTAAGTGGCTTTGAGGAACTTCAGCTCTAATAAAACAACGTGGGAAGCTGACAAATGACACAGCCTCTGAAAGATCAAATTCAATACCTCAGCGCTCAGCTCCTTGCTGGTGCTAGGAAAACAGTACTGAATGAGTTTGTGCTCCCTGTTCTGCATGTGCTAATGTGCAGTGGCTTCAGCTAAGCCAGTGCCCCTTACTGAAAGCTCTGCTCCCCAGGTCTCTCCCTGGAGCATGGAGAATCTCATGTTCCTCTTACCTTTGACCCAATCTCATTGGCAATGATATGCATGAACTCAGAATCGCCCTCCTTCCTACAACCAAGGACACAGATCTGAGATCCAGAGTGGAGTGGTAGCTGTGACAGGGCAGGAGGCCTGGCTCCTGATTGGGAGACAGGAAGATGAGTGGCAGGCCTCACTACTTTCTACTTGGGCTAAGTCCCACACCCCTTAGCAAAGAGATGCTGATGATGGAAGAGCAGCAAGACACCCTTCTCTACCTCAGCAGTTTATAAACAAGGGATTTCCATCTCCCTTCAGTGGGACTCATCAGGAGAAGAGAATGTGTATTGGATGGTGAAAGAGGCAAGGGAGGGGCTGGGAAGGTGGCTTAGTGGTAGAGTGCCTGCCTTGCATGCCTGAGGCCCTGGGTTCAATTCCTCAGCACCACATAAACAGAAAAAGCTGGAAGTGGCGCTGTAACTCAAGTGGTAGAGCACTGGACAGTGCCCAGGCCCACAGTTCAAGTCCTACAACCGACCAAAAAAAAAAAAAAAAGGAGGTAAGGGAAGATGCTAATGAAAGTCACAACGTTACTTGTTATATCTTGTGAAGATGGTACTATCAAAGCCAGGGAATCTGGTGGGTAACACATTTCTTAGGGTCTCTTCAGCCTGGAACACCATATGTTCTAGCAACCCACCTCCTACAAGGCTCGGCAGAGAGTGGAGAGGCTAGAATCCAAGCCCCACGCAGTTTCCTTGCCCAGCTCTAAAGTAGCTAGCTTCTCACCTGTGAAGTGTGACCACATCTCTGCAATCCAGGCTACTCCGGAGGCTGTGGGCAACGTGCACAGTCAGGTCTCTGAGCAGATTCAGCTTATTCTAAAATGGAAGTGAAATCTGAGTAAAAAGGTGGAAAGGATAAGAGAGAGCCCCACTTCTCACCACTTCATTCTCCCCTTACCTCTTCAAACAAACCCATACTTTTGATCCAAAGTGAGGGTAGAGTCTGGAGAACCTACTGTAGGGCCCAGGCTTTCTCCCCTGTCTTCAGAATGAATCACCTTTTGCAGGAGCTTGGTGGAGTTCTAGAGCTTTTTCACTGCATCTGCATGATCCTCTGTTCCACACCTGTGAGACAAAAGTCAAAGGAGACCCATTGCGCAATGCTTCCAGTGCCCACATGATTCAATCGTCCATCATTAGCACCACTAGATGGGGAGCAAGCCTTGAATACATGGCCCTTCTAGGGGGACATTTCATCTCAAAACCATACAGTTAGTGGAAAGTGATTACAGGGCTGGTAAATGACAAAGGTGGTTTGTTTTGTTTTGTTTTTCCTGGGCCTGGGCGCTGTTTCTCAGCTCTTCAGCTCAAGGCTAGCACTCTACCACTTGAGCTACAGAGCCACTTCTGGTGTCTGGCTTTGAACCATGATCCTTAGATCTCAGACTCCTGAGTAGCTAGGATTACAGGCATGAGCTACCAGCACCCACAAGACCAGGGATTTCTTTTTTTCTTTTTCTTTTTTTTTGGGGGGGGGGGGTCCAGTGGTGGGGCCTGAACTCTGGGCCTGGGCACTGTCCCTCAGCTCTTCAGCTCAAGGCAAGTACTCTACCACTTGAGCCACAGCGACACTTATGGCTTTTTTCTTTTTGCTTATGTGGTGCTGAGGAATTAGACCCAGGGCCTCATGCATGCAAAGCAAGCACTCTACCACTGAGCCACCTTCCCAGCCCAAGACCAGGTATTTCTATACAACCTTCTGCCACAGTCTGTAGTTACATCAGTTTGTTCAAGGGACTGATTTGGTTTAAAATAGCTATTCCCAGCGTTGGTCTTTATTTTTTTTTTTGGTGGGTCATGGGGCTTGAACTCTGGGCTTAGGTACTGTCCCTCAGCTCTTCAGCTCAAGGTGAGCACTCTACCTCTTGAGCCACAGCACCACTTCTGGTTTTCTAGTAGTTTATTGGATATAGAGTCTCACGGACTTTCCTGCCCAGGCTGGCTTTGAACCGTGATTCTAAGATCTCAGCCTCCTGAGTAGCTAGGATTACAGGCGTGAGCCACCGGTGCCTGGCTCAAGCATTAGTCTTTTGTTTCTCTAGTAGGGTACAGTGGTAGCTTTTATCTCTGAAAACTTACCATTTTTCAAATAGCTGTTAGTGACCAGTTCACCAGAGCCCCTCAGATCCCCTTTCCCCTTCTTGGAGAACTCTGCTGTCTTGATTGACACAGTTCCTTTGGAGAGAGTGCAGACTGAAGGCTTAGTAACACTGATACTGACATGGCTTTTGTGGTAGAAGCCAAGATTTTTTTCTTTCTTCACTTAGAAAACGATGCTAGAAGAACTATAGCCTTAAGAAGTCTACATTCTTGGATGGGAATGTAGCTTAGTGGTAGAGTGCTTGCCTAGCATGCACAAAGCCCTAGGTTCAATTCCTCAGTGCCATGTAAACAGAAAAAACAGAAGTGGTGCTGTGGCTCAAGTGCTAGAGTGCTAGCCTTGAGCACACAAAAGCTCAAGGACAGTGCCCAAGGCCCTGAGTTCAAGCCCCAGGACTGGCCACCTCCAAAAAAAAAACAAAACTCAAAAGTATATGTTCTGAACCAGGTGCTGGTGGCTCATGCCTGTAATCCTAGTGACTCAGGAGGTTGAGATCTGTGGATCACAATTCAGAGCCTGCCCAGGCAGGAAAGTCCTTGAGACTCTTTTATTTCCAGTAAACCATTTAAAAGCTCAGTGGAGCTGTGGCTGAAATGGTAGAGCACTTGCCTCTAGCAAAAAAGTTCAGGGACATTGCCCAGGTTCGGTTATGCAGCCCATACCCACAATCCACCCCCACCCCCTGCATTCCACCTGTTGATCTGCTGATCTGCTTACTATGTATTTCCCCTATGACCACTAGAGGACAGCACCATCTGTCTCCCTTCTGGCTCTCAAGCAAACTCCTTTCCCCTTTCCTCCTGATCTGGAACCTGGCCCTAAACCTAGACCAGATTAGCCTTCTAGCAAAGTCTAACTTGGACTGATCTCCTGAGGGTATGGGTTTCTTGAGGGTGTGTGCCTATTTATCCTCACTCAGTTGGAAATAGTTTGTACCTTTTATCCTTTATTTTTTTTGCCAGTCCTGGGGCTTGAACTCAGGTCCTGGACACTGTCCCTGAGCTTCTTTTGCTCAAGGCTAGTACTCTACCACTTAAGCCTCAGTGACACTTCTGGCTTTCTCTGTTTATGTGGTACTGAGGAATTGAACCCAGTGTTTCATGCATGCTAGGTTAAGCACTCTACCACTAAGCCACATTCCCAGCCCTGTACTTTTAATATAATCTAATAATATCTTCCATTTAAAAACCATTAAAAACTGGACTTTTAAGGTTAAAACATTTTGTGCTTCAAAGGACATGTTAAGAAAGTGAAAAGACAGACTATACAAAAAGAGAAGATAATCTTATCAGGTCTATAAAACTCTTATAACTCAGCTATAAAAAGATACTCAAAGCCTGACTGGCTTCCAATTCAGACCCTCCAATCTCAACCTCCAGAGTAGCTTTGATTACAAGCATGAGCCACTGGTGCTGGCCCTTGAAACTCTTATCTCCAGTTAACCACCAGAAAATCAGAAGTGGTGCTATGGCTCCAAGTGGTAGGGTGCTAACCTTGAGTAAAAAAGCTCAGGGACATTCCCAGACCTGAGTTCAAGCCCCATGACTGGGGAGAAAAAAGATAACTCCAATTTTAAAATGGACAGATGATTTGAAAAGATATTTCTGCAAAGAAGATAAATGACCAGTATATATACAAAAATATACTTATTACCATTTGGTTCAGAGAAATGCAAATCAAAACTAGAATGAGGTACTACTTTATATCCCCTAGGATGGCTAGTGACTTAAGACAGACAAAAACAAGCTTGACAATAATGTGGGAAAATTGCCAGCAGGCAGTGGCTCACATTTGTAATCCTCGCTACTCAGGAGGTTGAGACCTGGAGGATTGCACTTTGAGATTGCAATTTCAACCTGTAAAAAAGCAGAAGTGGAGGGTCAGTTCAAGAGGTAGAGTACCAACCTTGAGTGAAGCTAAGCAAAATCAAGAGATCCTGAGTTCTAGCCCCAGTACCAGCACAAAGAAAGGGAGCAGAATGAAATCGTGATATATTCTAAAGCCTAGATAAACCTTAAGACACTTATGCTAAATGAAAGAAGCAGGACATAAAAGATCACACACTATGTGAATGTATTCATAGGAATTGTGCAGAACAGGCAGATCTGTAGAGACTGAAAATAGATTAATGACTGCAGTCACTCCCAATTCCCCTCTTCTACAGCCCCTGGCAACCACTAATATATAATAGTCCTTTTTAAAAAAAAAAAAAAATCTTCTGTTGTTAGTCATGGGGCTTGAGCTCAGGGCCTAGGCACTGTCCTTGAGCTTCCTTTGCTCAAGGTTAACATTCTACCGCTTGAGCCACAGCGCCACTTCCAGCTTGTTTTTGGTAAGTTGTTGGTGATAAGAGTCTCACAGATTTTCCTGTCCAGGCTGGCTTCTAACCACAGTCCTCAGATCTCAGCTTCCTGAGTAGCTAGGATTACATGCATGAGCCACCAGTGCTCAGCTCAGAATATTCCTTTTGAGAGTGAAGAACATGGCCTAAAGTTAGACAGTGGTGAAGGTTGCACACTTCTCTAAGTAAGTTAAAAATTATTAAACCCCATCATTTAAATGGGTGAATTTTATGATCTGTGAACTATGGCTTGTTAGTTTTAATTAACTTTTTTTAATTTTAGCTTTCCAGAGAATTTTACATTTAGTATTTGGGCTAGAGTCAAAAAAAGGAGTAAAATATTTACCTGTAAGCCCATCATTCATGTCAAACCAAATTTTCTGCAACCCTTTCTGTAGTTTTAACATACTTATACCTATGATTGAGTAAAATTTACAAATCCAAAATACTTTACATTTTGTAATATATTCTTTTTTTTGGGGGGGGGGGTCTGGTCGTGGGGCCTGAATTCTGGGTCTGAGCACTGTCCCTCAGCTCTTCAGCTCAAGGCTAGCACTCTACCACTTGAGCCACAGTGCCACTTCCAGCTTTTTTTCTTTTTGCTTATGTGTGATGAGGAATCGAACCCAGGGCCTCATGCATGCAAGGCAAGTGCTCTACCACTGAGCCACCTTCCCAGCCCTGTAATATATTCATTACATGTACTTACAGGTTCCAGGCACAGTGCTAAGTATTGGGGACAGGATGATGAATTAACAATTCATTTTACCCTCAAGTAGTAATGTCCTTAGTGCCATGATCTAGAAGTATTATTTCTACTTAACAGGTGAAGAAGTTGAGGCTCAGAGAGGGAAAGTGAAATGTCTGAGGTGCTCCAACTGGTTACTAACAGATCCGAGACCCTTTGGCTCTGAAGCCTTGGAGTATGCATATGCACGGGCACTCTGCTACTGGGGCTTGAAATCAGTGCCTTGTATTCTTGTTTGTTTGTTCTTTTGTTTTGCTCAAAGCTGGCATTCTCCTGCTTAAGCCACAGCCCCACTTCAGGCTTCTTGCTGATTACTTGGACATAAGACTCCCCCAGATTTTTCTGCCCAGGCTGGCTTCAAACTATGGTCCTCAGATCTCAGCCTGAGTAGCTAGGATTACAAGCCTGAGCCACTGGTGTCTGGCTTGGATTTTTCCCAATATAACGGCACTTCTGTATTTTTAACATGATGCTAAGCATACTCTCTTACCACTGAGTCATACCTCCAGCCATTTCTAGGTATTTTTGGTGTTCTAGTGCAGTACTTTTTATACCTTTGCTTACCTCTACAGAACCTTGGTCATGTTAATCAGCTAAGAAGCCTCACTCTTGTCTTACCCAGTCTCCAGGTAGCTGTACCTGTACTGGAGCCAGTATTTAAACACTAGATTATAGGACCATACATCTACTGAACTTTGGTTTGAAAATGAAAAGAATTTATAACAAAAAATCTTCAAAACAAGTTCTCTATTTAGTACTAATTTTTCAGAAGGAATCTGTACACTGGTGAGTGTGTAATGTGGTTGCACAGGAATTGAGCAACAGGCCAAGGGTTATAGTCTAGGAACTGTAG